GAAGCAACGTCCTCCACAACTAGACTGAAGAACAAAACGACAGCAACTTGTCTGTTCCCCTTCCCCCAATTCCCCAGTGCTGTTCCCATCCCCCCAATTCCCCAATGAAAACCTTAAAAAAAAAAAAAAAGAATGGTGCCTGGCACTAAGTAAGTGCCTTGTATTTGTTAAGTAAATAAATAAATTTTTAAGAGGTCATGTTATATTGGTGCCTTATAAACTCTACATTTTGAATTTAGAAGAAAGATCCATGTATTTGATATGGCAAATGGCCAGGTCTCTGATAAGTCACCACAGAATACACATTAAATAATATTATTCAGTGGGGACTTTCATTAATAGCGCGAGATAAAATAAGAATGCCTGGAAGGAAGATATAGAACTCCCTGTTTTTGAACACCAGTCTCTGGAAAGGGGAGTCAGGCTATTGTAAGTGACAAGGAGAATGTGTGTCAGAATTGTGGAGAGTGGCACGAACCCTATTGAGAACCCCACGACCCATGCAACACAGAGTGAGATCTTAAAAAACATTCTTTACAAATGCCTTCTAATTAATTTAGATAGATTCCTAGTGGTGATAGGCAACATATTTTGAATAACAAATGCTAGGGCTTTATTTAACAGTACTGTTCAACAATCACATTCTGAACAAACTTTGACATGAAAAACACTGCCTTGTGTTCTCAGTTCCTAATTGTCTAAAGAAATGGAGAAAAACAATTGTATATATAATCCGAAACAGATAACAATTTTTAAAATTCTTAACTTGGGACATCAAAAGTGTACCTTATTGTATGCAGTTGAGATGATCCTAAAATATTAAAATATGAATTCAATGTGTAATAATTTGATCACATTTTAAATATATCATATGACATAGTGGTATCCTCTTCTATATATAATAAAAAACTTCTTTAGGAATGCAACAGCTGCTGTCTAATTTATCTGTTTTAAATCCATTTAGACTTTGATAAGTAGGTTTTTAAAAAGCAGAGCATAACCTTGAAAAAGATTTAAATATTTTTCCCAAAGTAGATACAGGT